CTTAAGTGGAATCTGTATGTAAGTCAGAACTGGCGGTCAGTTTCAGCAGCAGCTGAATCTGGACGCCAGTTCCGACTTACATACAGATTCAACTTAAGAACAAACCTACAGTCCCTATCTTGTACGTAACCCGGGGACTGCCTGTACTGCATAACCTTAAGTAATAGCAAGAGTTTGTGTAACCACCTAGTCAGGGCATGTTACATCACCCTCTCTGAGCCTGATCCACAGAGCATATGAGTGTTACAGCCCCAAGCTACAGGACATGGATGTCTGAGTCAAGCTGTACAGATGTATGGGTTTAGCCAACATGCTATCATTCTAGCTTGCATGTTTGCAGCTTGGTTAGGTTGATAGTTAACTGCCTGGTTCCCTAAACTGTATCTCTGGTGTGGTAGAGTGATCAATATAGTAAGTCAGGATTTACTGTCGTGGTGTCCTCAAAGGTCTCCTGCACCATGAGTGATGATAACCAGAAGGCTGCATGCGTGCGTGCTCAATCATGTGTGCCATGTTGATTTTTGCAATTAGTCAACCCAGCAGACTCTAAGAGAGCCCCCCCAAAGACCACAAATCAGATAAGGATCAAAGGCACCCGGCCAGGTTTATTGTTGTCAGTAGACTGTACCGAATCACTATGTATACGTAGTCCATAATAATGGACTCAGCTCACATCAGTGGGAGGTCCCACTGCCCCCTTGGCTGGACAAAGACTGTTTCCCCAAGACACCACTTTATATACAGGTACAAACAAGTGACACATCGCTCCTGACATGTCAAGTTGACACCTTCTGACATCAGGTTACTACCCTCTGATGCTACTTAGATGCTACCCCGAACCTCGTTCGATTAGAACATCTCAATCCATTATGCTGTCATTTTAGACTCTTTCTTGAACATGGGTCTGTAACAGTGGGGAGTGTGGTATCAAAGTCTTTTTTAACAAGCTGGTGGTACCATCCTTTTGGGATGTGCTTTCAACTTATGACCAGTACCAATTACTGTTCTACACCTGGGCCTATTACCAATTAGTGTTTTGCGCACTCAGCCCTGTTCGTGCCAAGTTCTGTCAACAGGGGCCTGCCTCTTGCTCACAGCTTAGCTTTGGTTTTTATTAGCCAAGTTTTGTCCATTGTTAGGTAGGCCTCAGGCCTCAAACCAGGCCTCTGCTACATGGGCTTTTGTTTCAGGCTCTCATCTTACTAAATGTGGAAGGCTGCCCTGCTGGCTGAATAGGAGATCAGAGTCCATGGGTAAACTGGATTAGTCAGAGAGTGGGTATGCTGAGACCACTGCTTTTTGTGCTGGTCAATATCACATTGTTACCATATGCTCTTCATTTGTTGTATCCACTTGTTGTGTCTCAAATTGTTATACTATAACTCTTTGGGACAGGAGCTGTGATTGTACAGCGCCTAGCATAATAGCTCATCTGTGACTGAGGTCCCAAGCACTATGCAGTACCAATAGAGGGAGCTATCATAAATATCAATAGAGAAATGGCAGTTTATTTAAAAAGACTGTCAGTAAAGAGAAGCTGTGGTAAATGGTGAAATGTAACAAGACAATCTATATTTTCATTGCTTTCTGGGCATGTTAACTAGTGCAGCTCTAGAAAGTACTGCACATGCAGCTAAGGTTGTAGAAAATTATGTTGTATTAGATAGAGTCTGATGATGTGATCAAGGCCTTGCTTAAGCATTTCCACTCTTGACAGTCCTGATATTGGTTGCAGAGGGTCAGACTTTACCCTCCCTATTGTTTTGCGGCTCCTAATCAGACAGTTACGGCCCCGCAGCCTCCTTATTATTGTGCAAGTGATCACGTTGTGTTTGTAATCAAAGACACATCTCTGCCTGCCTGCTGCAGTGATTTCTGTTGCTTCTCTTTCTGCAGGACCCTCAGGGTCGCCATGTCAAAACATATGAGGTGTCCCTACGAGAGAAGGAATTCAACAAAGGTCCCTGGAAACAGGAGAATGTAGAGGCTGAAGCGTCCATGGTAATTGCAGGTTGGTGGTTCTTTATAGAAGATTTTACATACCACATCTTACCTCAGCGGTGATGCTTCACCCTTGTTACAGGTACTGTCTAACGAAGCTGTCTGCATTCCCCCTTTCTGCAGTGCCCGAGCCCTTTGGAGGAGCAATCATCATTGGGCAAGAGTCCATCACCTACCACAATGGAGATAAATATTTGGCTATAGCCCCACCTATCATCAAGGTGAGAGAGTTTCTTTCTAGAATGCTGATCCCTAGAGCCATGGATCCAGCTGCTCCTGGCGCCTGGCTCCCTTGCACTTCAGATTCCATGTTGTGCTTAGGTCCTGCACGTAGTAAGGTCTAAGGGCCAGCTGTAGTAAGGACTCCCCAGGCTGGGATTTTGTACTGCTCTCTCTATGGGATGGGACTCCTCTGCTCCCATGTGGTAGTGTAGGGATGTGGTCTTCAGGTGTAGGAATGGTACAGTGGTTGGTCCCTACCTTCAGGCACTTGAGGGGTGTGCCTGTGTTGAAGAAGCTGTGTGTCTGGTCCCTGTATAGCTGCATATGGGTAGGGCTTCTCTCTGCTTTGAGTGCTTGGGCAGAATACAGTAAAGCCCAAAGCCTGTTGGGGCTCATGGTCCCAGAGGACGGAATACATTAGCACAGATAGGTTTGGGCACTGGCTCAAGCCAAAGCAAAGGTGCAGCTGAATGAGACTCACAGTAAAGATAGGATATGTAACAGTGAAAGGTTTGGAGCTTGAATATAACCTTGGGTATGAGAGTGCGCTTGTTTTGGGAAGAGGGGAGGCCAGGTGGGGTGCCTGAGTCAGAGGCATGAGCCTAGTCAGAAAGGTATGAATCCTGGGTGCAAGTTGGAAGCATCAGCTGGATCACAAAGACAATGACAGGAATGTGGGTGTGTTAGGCTAAAAGGAAACCAGAGATACGATTGGAGGCAGAGATGGCAGTGAGCTAGAACAGGGGTGAGCAAAATACTGCTCGTAGGCTGGATCCGGCCTGCCAGAACTTCAGATTCAGCCCTGCAACCCAGTGGGACTCTCGGGCAGGCTGTTTGCCTGCCGCATTCCCCTTACACTGCTCAAAGCAGCTAGCTTGCAGGGACCATGTGTATTTGCGCCCCTGGGGAGGAGGGCTTCATGCACTGCCCCACCTCAGCACAATTTCACATCTTCCATTGGCTGGAAATTGGCCAATTGGAGCTGCCTGGGCTGTGTATGCAGTGCAGACAGCCTGCAAAGGGTCTGCACACAAGAAGTGCGTGGCGGGCAGAGATGCACATGGACCATTAAGCCAGCCACTTTGAGCAGTGTGTGAGGGCCCTGCTGGGCTGATGGCCAGGATTCAGATAGGGTGAGCACCTCCCAGCCAGAGCCTGCACCTGCACACCCTTTCTGCCAACTCCCTGCTTTTGGTTACAACCTGTGACGGCGTGTCGGGGAGCTGCCCCTCCCTGCACCCCCGTCCACAGCAAGATGTGACTCTCCACCAGCCAGTAGAGTAAAAATGGGTTTATTCCTTCTCCAAGATACAGCATAGGCTCAATGTAGGCATAGGAGAATAGGCCAACAGCCCTAGTTCCCTTGGGAGGGAAGGGCTTCACAGGCCCCTGAACCCCCTTTACTGGTTTAGTCTGTTTCCTCCATGCTTTCCCATGCTCAGACTGCCCCTTCTCCAAACCACAGAACACTCATCCCCCCCAGGTAGCCACACCCCTTCCTTTGTTCAAACTCCTTCCCCTGGCCAGGTGTGAAGTTGCTAGGTCATGGCCTACATGCCTCCCCTCAGTAATCCCCCCCCCCCCACTGGGCAGTGCACACAGACATGCACAGTCTCTGCAGATAGCATAGGGCAGTATGGGTCACGCACAGCACAACACAGCAACCAGTGACGGCCAAACCAGACAGGATCCAGGGCCACAAGAGTGGGTAGCTCCCCACTACATCACACAACCCAAACTCCTGCACCTCCATCCCCGGTCACAACCCTGAGTTTGCTTGTACACCCAACCTCCATCCCAGACCCTGCACCTACTCCATTAATATCATAGGATGCGTGTGGCCCGTGGCCACTTACCACGTTCTTGGAATGCTTCCCTCCCCCCATCCTAATGTATTGCCCACCCCCTGGGCTAGAACATTGGGCTAGATCTCCAGGAAAGGGATACTGGCATCATGGCTGCTTGAGTGTCCTCTTCAGAGGTCCATGCTTTGGTGGGGGCTGCATTAATAGAAAAGGACCATGCTGCCTGTGAGTCTTGCCTTATGGGCCCTTAAAGTTTGCTTTTAAAAGGACTGTAGGAGCAGGCTATTGCATCCCAAACAGAATGTCTTGACCAAAAGCCAGGCAGCATCCATCGCTCAGAACACCACTTGCACAGAGACTTGAGAGAAAGCTGCTGTACAGTTCTGGGCCTGAAACAAGGGATGTGAATGTTTAACTGGTTAATTGGTAAGCCTCACCCTTAATGGGTGAGGCTTACAGTTAACTGGTTGGGGCTGGAGTAGTGCCCTGTGGGGCCCACCATGGGCAGGAGAGTTCCAGCCCAGCTGCAGCAGCCCTGGTCTGGGGTGGGAGGAGGGTGCTCCAGCCTCGCCCCCGTGGTTGCCCTGTGTAACTGGTCAAACAATATTTAATCAGTTGACTAATTAAAAGGGATTTTGCATCCCTCCCCAAACAGCATCATGACAGTTCATCCGCTGAAAGCGCTCAGTCAGCAGAATGGGGGCTTCTGAGGGGGTTGCTCGTGAGCTGAGAATGGGCCTAAGATGTTTCAGCTTGACCTGCAATTACTGAGACTGTTCTGCATAATTGATAATGGGGAAGTTCTACCACAGATGCACATACAGTTACTGGCACAGTACACTCAGACAAATCAAATCCCCTGCCACAAAGATCGGGGGAATTCACCAGCTCACACAGGATTGTACAGTTGGCTAGGTGTGTTGTGGCCATGCTCAAGCTGGCACATCTGGTATTGGGGGCTGCTGGGAGCAGGACACCAGGCTAGGGTGCCTGGTAACTCTACCCTCTTTCTCTGCCTGCAGCAAAGTACAATCGTGTGCCACAACCGCGTGGATCCCAACGGGTCCCGTTACCTCCTGGGGGATATGGAGGGCCGCCTCTTCATGCTGCTATTGGAGAAGGAGGAGCAGATGGACGGCACGGTCACCCTGAAGGACCTGCGTGTTGAGCTGCTTGGAGAGGTAGCGCTCTTCCCCCTCACTGCTGTGGTCTCTGCTTGGAAAGTTTGTGAGCTGCAAGCACAGCTGAGGGAGTCAAATGGAGGGAAGCAAGTCCCCAGTTAGACTGTGAAATGTTGGCATTTCATCCCTGCTATTTCACAGCTCTGAACCCCTTGAGGCATCAGGATTTGGAGAAGGGATAAAATGTATGTGCTTGCAAGCATGCCCGCCTTCAGGGAGTGCATTGGAGCTGGTGCTTCAGTCTGTCATTGCGGGGAGCAGAAACTCTTTGGTTGTTCTCGAAAAAGATTTTCTCTCAGGCTGTGGATCTCAATCTCTTTCCAGCGGCTTTCCCATAGAGTTGGAATTAGGGATTGGTGTTTGCAGGGTAAGGGGCCCTTCTCTTGCCTAGGGCTTTCCAGAAGGTTTGAATTGTGTGTCTGCCGCAACCATCTTTCTCTCTAACCTGCTGGCCCATCTGTCTCCTCATATAGACCTCCATCGCGGAGTGCCTGACTTACCTAGACAATGGTGTTGTCTTTGTCGGCTCTCGCCTTGGGGACTCCCAACTTGTGAAGGTGAGAAGCAGCCCTCTCCTGATCTAGTTCCAGCTGCAGCCACATTTGTTCACCTTTCCCTCCCTGTTGGATCCCAAAAGGCATGGATGGGTGGGATGAGAAAACCAGCGCTTTGCTTCATGCCCCCAAGTGTTCTGGGGCTTAGGCACAAAGTGTTAAGGGAGTTTAATACCTGCCAACAGTTTAATCCCTCTCCACCTGCTGCCTGCGTTAGTCAACACAGGGAGCAGCCCTTGGGAGCTAAGGACTTTGTGTTCACAGCTCAGCGTGGACAGCAATGAACAAGGCTCCTACGTAGTAGCCATGGAAACCTTCACCAACCTGGGCCCCATCGTGGACATGTGTGTGGTGGACCTAGAGAGACAGGGCCAAGGGCAGGTAATATTGTCTGTGCCTTCCCTGTGTTAGTGCTGAGTATATCTGCTCCAGACAGGATGTGCCTGCTGCTCGGGGGGAATAAGCTCTGTGCTCCATGCTGGGCGTCCAAGTTGCCTTTGTTTGAGCTGCTCCACAAGGAGATGCTAGAAGGAGGTGGGTACAGCTTGTGGGGTATTCTGCATTGGGAGCAGTGAATGAAAAGTGAATCCTCCAAAAAAAGGTGCTGCAGAGGTCTTAGAATGGCTGCTTCCCGGGGATCTCTTCTCATGAGGGAAGGTTAACCCTCCCATGAGACTGCTCTGGAGGGTCAGACTCTGGGGAGGGGGAGGGGGAGGTGATGGGCCATCTCCAAAAAGCCTGCTCTGGGAGGTAGGAGAGACCAGACCCCTTCCCTCTACCAAGCCCTTGCCTGGATGCCTCTTCTCATAGCGGGAGAGAGATGTTCCCATATCTCCTCTCCTCTCCTCCTCCTCCCCCCCAAGTTTTACAGGGAGGAATTGGTGGAATGTTAACAGGTACCTGCTCTATCTAGCTGGTCACGTGCTCTGGCGCCTTTAAGGAGGGCTCCTTGAGGATCATCCGGAATGGGATTGGGATTCACGAACATGCCAGCATCGACTTGCCAGGGATTAAAGGTGCGTGAATTTGTTGAGTATGCAGAACATGTGCTCCAGCCTTCAGCTCTGTCTGCCTGTTCCGCAAATCTGTGTTGTAGTGACCCACAGCTTCAGAGGGTGCTGGGGCACATGTCTTGCATGTAGGCTGGGCAGGGTGTGGGGTGTGTCAGGGGCATCTCCTCCAGTTTTTGCTGGATGTTTACTTGGAGTAACTGTGGGTTCTTTCCCTGTACAGGCCTGTGGCCATTGAGGTCAGACTCACACCGTGAAACTGACAACACCTTGGTGCTATCGTTTGTGGGCCAGACCAGGTAAGGCTCTGGGGTCAATGCTGGGATAGGCTCTGGGCTGTGTGCTCTGGATTTGGTTAATGAGTTCTCTTCCGCCCTCATAGGGTTCTGATGTTAAATGGGGAGGAAGTGGAGGAAACTGAGTTGACAGGATTTGTGGATGATCAGCAAACATTCTTCTGTGGCAATGTAGCCCATCAGCAACTGATCCAGGTACTAGTTAGACCAGTGGGAGAGGAAGGGGCTTTTGGCTGGGTGTCCCCCTAGATTGGAAGGAGCTATGGGGTATCATAAGAGGAGTCTCACAGAATGTGCTCCCAGTAATGGGGACGGTGGCAGCATTCCATCTGGGCTGAGTGTCGTTGGAGGTGAGTGTGTCCTACGTCTGAGGTGCAGTGTTCCTGCTTCCCCAGATCACGTCTACCTCTGTGCGGCTGGTCACTCAGGAGCCCAAAGCCCTGGTGAGTGAATGGAGAGAGCCCAAGGGGAAGAACATTAGTGTCGCTTCCTGTAACAGCAGCCAGGTGGTGGTGGCTGTGGGGCGAGCACTCTACTACCTCGAGATCCAGCCCCAGGAGCTCAGGCAAATAAGGTGGGTGTGATCCCCTTGCCCGTGACCGGTTCCTCTGGCCCCCAGGCTGGTTACTGCCAAGTCTGTTTCCTTTCTTTCCCTGCTAGCTGCACAGAGATGGAGCATGAGGTGGCCTGCCTGGACATCACACCATTGGGAGACTCCAATGGCATGTCGCCTCTGTGTGCCATCGGCCTCTGGACCGACATCTCGGCCCGCATCCTTAAGCTGCCCTCGTTTGAGCTGCTGCACAAGGAGATGCTGGGAGGCGGTAGGCACTACACGTGGGGTGTTCTGCACTGGGAACCGTGAACAAAGCTGTGAGAGAACTCATGGGGCCTTCTCTTTTCCCACCCACAGAGATCATCCCCCGCTCCATTCTGATGACCACCTTTGAGAACAGCCATTATCTCCTCTGTGCCCTGGGGGACGGGGCTCTCTTCTACTTTGGGCTCAGCATTGAGACAGGTGAGTGTTTCACCCTTCCTGGGGTGGCTTTTGAGAGGGGCAAGACTGAACAGATGCCCTTTCTCCCCCTTCTGAATCCTCTCTCTGATCCCAGTGGATGGGCTCCATGGGAAGATGCCCCCCAGCCCTGTACAGGGCAGGGATCTCACCCTTTGTAACAGCCTTGACATCCCTGGGGAGTTGGATAGGGAAGGGCCTGTTCGATGTAGCCATGTTTCCTGCTGCAGAGGGGGGTCGTGCTAGGCCTGCTTTTTGAGGGAGGGCTACTCATCTCTCCTGGGATAGGGAGAGGGCTCCTTATATCAAACCTTCTGCCAGCCCCATAGTGCCGCTGGCTTCCAGGTGGGCCCCTTCCAGCCAGTGTGCCTTGCTGCTTGAGCCCACTCTACCATCCTGCTTCTGAAAGCTCCGCCCCCTTTTGGTAGGGTAGCTCTCACCACTGCTGCTCCCTGACTCTAGGTTTGCTGAGTGACCGCAAGAAAGTGACCCTGGGCACCCAGCCCACCGTCCTGAGGACCTTCCGTTCACTCTCCACCACCAACGTCTTTGCCTGCTCCGACCGCCCCACTGTGATCTACAGCAGTAACCACAAGCTGGTCTTCTCCAACGTCAACCTCAAGGAGGTGAACTACATGTGCCCGCTCAACTCGGATGGCTACCCTGACAGGTGAGCATGCTCCCCCTCACGCCAGAGGGGAGGGGCTTCTGGACTCTGCACTGGCCCAAGTGAGATAAGGAGCAGCATGGATGGACGGTTCCCAGCTGCATCCTTCTTCTTGCTCTAGTGTCTGCAGGGCACATAACCATGTGCCTTCTCTGCTAGGACTGGCTGACAAGGTAGAAGGCGATGGCATGTTCAGGGAGCACTACCCACAGGCCAGCCTGCAGCTGCATGGAGAATGGGAAAGAGAAACCCTCCTCCCAGAGACCCCTCAAACCTGCTCCTCCTCCTCGCTCACACGCAGTTCAGCTCTTGTGCTGCCCTGAGGGTGTCAAACTAGAGGACATTTGCCATCGCTTACTTGTCCCTCCCCATGTACCAGCTGTGGATTTTCCTGCCTAGGCTGGGGCCCAGGAACCCTTAAAGACAGGAGATCCGGTGCTCAGTTAGTCTGGCTCTTCTCCCGGCTTCCTAGCTAGGGGGGCACTTGGTTTGCAACCCTGATCACTGGCAGTCTCCTTTCTCTACAGTCTGGCATTGGCCAACAACAGCACCCTGACAATTGGCACCATCGACGAGATCCAAAAGCTGCACATCCGCACGGTTCCCCTCTACGAGTCGCCCAGGTGAGCAGTGGGGAATAGGGTTTCTGGGTCTGCATCCTGTGTGTGAGTGGGGAAGGATGACAGCAGGGCTCATCTTCTCCAGAGGGGAGCCTCCCATCTTTCCACTGGTGTGTGGAAGAGGTGAGATAGCTCAATGAGATTGGCGTCTGGCATTTTGAGAGCAGCCCAAGGGACATAGAAAGTAGGGAGGCTTACTGTTTAATTGGTGGCTCAGGCAGAGGGCTTCTCCAGTCTGGCTGGGCCCACCGCGCAGTGGGATGCGGGATGCTTGGGCACTCCAGCCCAGATCTGCAGGATCCCATTTAAGTGGTTAACCAGTTAAACTAAAAGTTTAACCAGTTAAGTGATTAAACGGACGTTTACATCCCTAGTAGCAAGGAGATGTCTGGAAACTGAGCAGAATAACAGCCGAGTGTCTCAGGAGCCTCTGTATTCTCCTTAACCATGCCCTCTCCTTGCGGAGTTCTTTTCCCCATGGCTTGCTCTGGTTGTCCTGCAGGAAGATCTGCTATCAGGAGGTGTCTCAGTGCTTCGGCGTGCTTTCAAGTCGCATCGAGGTGCAAGATGCCAGTGGGGGCACCACTGCACTGAGGCCCAGTGCCAGCACCCAGGTAAGAGGAAGCTCTGGGAAGGCATGTGGGCTCAAGAGCTCAGCCTCTGGAATAGCAGCTGTTGGAAATATGATTGTAAGCCAGGGATGGGGCAATAATTTTCACAGGGAGGCCACTTCATGAATTTTGGTACTGGTCATGGGCTGGCTCCACCTCCTAGAAAGGGCAGGGCCTGGGCGGAAGGGGTGGGGCTGGGCCAGGGGCTTTGAAGTAAAAACACAGCAAAGGGCTCCCGGGTCCTGGCCCCACCACTGCCGCGTTGCCTGGGGCTGCTATTGCTATTTAAAAACCTTGTGGCTCTGGCTCCTGCTGGGGTAGCGCTGTGGCTGTGAGCCATGAGCCATTTAAATAGGATCCTGCTGCCTTAGCCACTGCCTGGAAATTCGATGGCACAGGCAGCAGGATACAAATAGAAAGCGGTCAGATGCAGTCCATGGACCAGATCAAAGAGTTATGCAGGCCGAATTCGGCCCCCGGGTCTCATCTTGCCCAGCCCTGCTCTAAGCCAAATGGCAATACGCGGTGTCCTTGGATTCTTGTCATCCCAAGGTTGATTACATGGACACCATTGCCCTGCCCTGTGGGTAGGAAGGAGGGTGAGAAGACAGTCTCAGATGGACTCTTGACTCTTTCTGTCTTTAACAAACTGAGGCTTCCCCTATTACATACTCCCATTTTCTCCCAGTGCCTCTAGACTCCTTCGTTTCCCTGGGCCTTACCATTCAGATTGATTGTTAGATGGGATCCCAGATCCTTCCTAGGCAGTTTTCTTCTCCCCACGGCTGAGCCATGAGTCCTCTCAGAGGTTGCTATGAAACCTTCCATCTCATTATTCTGTCTCTTCCTTAAAGGTCCCTTAGCCTGAATTCTCTTCTGTTCCATCAGTCTGGCCTCAGAAGACTCTGAGGGAATGTCCAATGTGCCTGTGTGCCCTTTAGCAGCGGTGTCCGGAATTTCCCATGGGATTGTTCCCCCACATCAGTGGCACATTTGGCCAAGGGGCTTGTCTAGGATCTCATTCATCTGCTTACCCTTAATCTGCCTGTTCAGCCTCTCTTCTCTCCCAATGTGCTAGGCTACTGTGAGTAGCTTAGGGTGTGATTGCTCTCTCTGTGTCCTAGGCCCTGTCCAGCAGCGTCAGCTCCAGCAAGTTGTTTTCTAGCAGCACTGCCCCACACGAGACATCCTTTGGTGAGGAGGTGGAGGTGCACAATCTACTCATCATAGACCAGCACACCTTTGAAGGTACCAACTCCAACCAGGACCTTCTTCCTGCCCCCAAGAGGGGGCCTGGCTCATCTGCTGAACACTTCCCATGCAATGCACATGTGGCAAAGGGGCGTGGATGAGACCAGCAGCTCTGTGCAAAAGAGGCTTTATCAGAAGGAAAGACAAAGGAATGGGACTCTTGGAGGAGGGCTGGGTGTAGGGTTAAGGCGGGTGTACTAACTGGAAGTGCAAGCTGGCAAAGAGAGGGTGTCTACGGCAGCTCTTGGCTCTGCCACTTGGGCACATGGAGGAGGCTGGTCCAGTAGCATGCAGAGGAGGGACTGTCAGCTACAACCCATTTGCTTTTCTCTTTTCTACACGCAGTGCTACACGCTCACCAGTTTCTGCAGAATGAATATGCCCTCAGCCTGGTCTCCTGCAAGCTGGGCAAGGACCCCAACACGTACTTCATTGTGGGCACGGCCATGGTGTATCCCGAGGAGGCTGAGCCCAAGCAAGGCCGCATCGTAGTCTTCCACTACTCAGATGGTAAGAGGGAGAAGGCTGAGTTCCCATTGCGGGGGGGGAGGTGTCCCTCTTCTAGCAATATTCTGATCATCTGATGGAGGTCAACCCTCAGTCCCAGAGGATTGGGAAGGGACATCACTGCAGCGGACACCGCACCTTAGCTTCTCACTCATCCCTGCTGACAGATGGTTGCCATTTGCCATGAGATAATTTGTGCCACCCAGGCTCTTCTGCTGCTTGGGGGCTTTTGTTCTGTGAACTAAGCACTAAACTATGCAATATTCTGATCATCTGATGGAGGTCAACCCTCAGTCCCAGAGGATTGGGAAGGGACATCACTGCAGCGGACACCGCACCTTAGCTTCTCACTCATCCCTGCTGACAGATGGTTGCCATTTGCCATGAGATAATTTGTGCCACCCAGGCTCTTCTGCTGCTTGGGGGCTTTTGTTCTGTGAACTAAGCACTAAACTATGGTACCATCTCCCACTGGGTTACAGTAATCCTTCACCCGCTCTTC